TATATTATTATTTAATACTTTACTTTATAAATACGATACATATTGTTATCAAGTAACAATATAAAATATTGTAAATAAATATGTTAACTCAAATGTAGCCTGGGTTTTAATAATTTTACTATGTATTCAGTTTCGGTTAAGTTACAAAAACAATCGTCAGATTTCAACAAAGTCAAGTATAATTAATGACGACTGAATAAAAACCGTATTTTTATTTTTTATTGTTATTTATCATTTTAGTTCACTCATTGAGTATACTACCTATACCAAGTATACCATCTATACTTATGAAAAGAAATATACATTTACAATTCAAGTTCTGTTGGTCGCAGTCCGCAGACAATTGAGTACTCATCTATTTTATCTGGGAATATATTATGTTCTCAAAATGATATAGCGTATAATAGTATTCCTCAAGTTTTATCATTTAAGATTAAAAATCGAAAAGCTGTTCATTGCTCTGTAGGTATAATGTTAATGTTAAAATTACATAACTTGAGCTCTGCACCGCACTCTAGTGGATACTACAAATCTGTCCCGTTTTGTTACGCGCCGTAAGAGTTCGGTGTCTGTTAATGGTTAAAACTATTTACACCATTACACAATATTATTATATTATAATATATACAAAAATAATAAATACATTTTATATTTATTCATTGTTTTTAAATTAATTATTTTAAGTACAAAATATGTAAAAACTAAAATATTATATTATTCCATCATCTCATTGAACATCATACGATATCATATTTTTTAAATATATATACATACTCAGCATACTCTATATGTTTATGTGTCGTAATAATTATTATTTTTATTTATTTTTTTTTTTTTTGATCTATATAACAACATGATTAATATTATAATTATAATACATAATATTTTTAATTATTTTTTTTTTTTTTGATGTTAGATCGTCAACTTAAGCGCCACCAACATACCAGGATCCCATAAGGACATTACACCGGTCGCAGCTATCGGCACACGTCACGCCGGTAAATCATATGGTTAAGTAATATTATAATATAATAAATATAATATGTAAGAATGCGGATTAAATTTAAATCTAAAAAATTTTCTTGGTAAATATAACACTTAAAATCTACATAACTATTATTTATATTCTATGACAATAAAACTCTAAAGGCGATTTGTTTTTTCCGCGGAAAACTGGGGAACGCCACAATATGTAACCCGATCGTCTCGATCACAATGCAAACATGTTGATAAAATAATTAATAATATTATGGGCTACTTGCTCCCACACCTTCTTTTATGAAAAAATGTTGCCAAGTACCAAAATGATTAGAATAAGAAATTTTAGGAAATTCTGAGGTATCGGTTTACAGGTTATCAACCACACTTCCTGTAAATTCGTTTTGTCCGACTTCGCGTCAGAAGGTTTGCATCGAAGTAGTTATAAGGACGAATGAAAATAAACGCATTTCGATCGTGATTTAATACCACAATATACAAAAAAATACACAACCTGACGCTGCATAAATATACTTGCAAATTAGGTTGCTGTTAATCGAGTGGTGCTCGATATAAGCGTGTTAGGCGGACGTAACGATGTCATAAGTTATAATATATTCATAAACTACAGTGAAATAGCCTAAAAATATCATTTTGAGACCGGTACAAAGCGAGTCTTATAATCGAATTAATCTTATAATCCAACGAGCTTTATGAGTAAAAACAAATAAAACATATATTAAATTTAAATTAACTTTTCGTTTTTGAGGGCTCTGTCACTGGACAGCCTTCCTCTTCATATTAATCATCATGTAAATATTCTCCACATCATATTATATCATATTTTCTTATTGTACGCATGTCACAAATTGTAAATTTTCTATTTTAATAATGAAAAAACAAATCATAAGCTTTTGGTATAACTTTATTTTGCTATTTTATTTTAACATGGTTATATTATTTATTAAAAATAAATTGTTTTTACTTATGATTTTCGACAATTTTTGCAATACATAATTCGTATACTTGTATTATGTTTGTTAAAATTAGTTATTTAGTGAAATGAAATGTGAAATGTGATGACGATTATTGTTCATATACAAGGAATAAACTATAATTTATAATCATTACACTATAAATTACTTTTTAATTGTCTAATTATAATTAAAATATATATTTTTTATAAGCAATGAGAACTATAAGAGTATTGTAAAATTATTTATTTTCATTTAAAATAAGCAGCGGTCGTGAAATGGGTAACGAAAACTGTACGATTATTATTTGATATCACATTATCATTTTATCACATTAGGTAATAATATTTAGATCACAATAAATATTTGGATTTTGGAACAATATTTTTAAACCTAATTATTTGTTCAAAAGGGTGTCAATTATATTTTTATTTTATCGACAGAAATAGTCGCTTTTCGCCGTATGTCAATAACACATTTATCAAATTTATCGCGAAATAAATAATCATCGTATTTTTGTAATTTAAATGTTGAGTTTACAGAATTTAATATTATTTTTAAATTATAATTTAATACTTAAGCCTGACAGTCAAATATTTAAATGAAGTAGAGTACCAATACCTACGTAAATGATTAAAAGATGTAAATTATATTTTTTTTAGAGCTTTCGTCGATCGGATCGAATCTATTGATTCGTGTCCTATGTAGCTATGTATCCTTAAGGTAAAAAGGGAACTGCTCATATTTAAGCAACATACCTTTTTTAATAGAAAAAATTATTATGATAACAAAGTCATATACCTATAAATTATATGTTATAACATTTTTGTTTATAAAATTGTAATTAATTTTCAAATCACGGTCAAAATATCACCACATTAGTAATTAAAATTTATTGTCTATCCCTTGTTCTCCTATAAAATACACGCGCATAAATCAATGTCTAAATTACTAAAAATAAAAAAAACACAAGAAAAGCGATATTATTTATAATTTTTTGATAAAATAATTTTGTTTTATTAGTTGTGTTTAATGTTATAAATCGTGATTTATTATGATACGTTTGATTAGTAATTTAGTATTAAATTAAACAAATAAAATATTATTCTGAGAAACTTGACACTTTATGATCTTTACAAATTTTACCATTATGACATTATGTATAAAGTATAATACTAACTATTTACTAACGTTACCATATAAAATATATTTAAATAAAATTTAAGTAACTTATACTACGAACCCATTCACACCGTTCTACAAAATATCAGTAATGGCATATTGTAATATTGTAATATAAGACAAACTTAAAATCGATTTTCGGAGTTTTTGATTTAAATTAAATAAACCACATATAATTCAATGATCTTTCCTGATTTTTTTTATATTATCATCACTAGTTGGTTATACATATTTTAATACAATATACGTTAATACATTTTTTACAGCTTTTTTTTTTTTTTTGCTTGGAGGATTTTTGTTTTGATATAGTATAAAATATTTTGTACCTATACAGAGTGATAGTATACGTACATTTATAAATTATAATATAGTATTGCAGTACTATCCCTGATCAGTATTATAATAATTAATTTTATCGTATTTTATTTTTTATTCGAGCGCGAGTCGTCTAATATAATATTGTAAGTAGAATACAGCTCTGTAAGAATAAGGTAACGATGAAGCGCGTCGTGGTTGCATGGGATCCTGGTTGTTTGGGACGGAAAAAAAACAGACTACATACAATTTTTTTTTAATATTTTTTATTTACACCAGCGTATTTTATTCACATTTTATAATAAAAATGTCCTTAAAAAAAAACAAAAGAAATGACGAAATATAAGAATCAGGCAATATTAAACAATTGATAAATACATGGGTGTTCCTATAAGAACAATTTTTTTAACGTGATTTTTGAAAAATACTGATTAGTTTATTGAAATCAAAAAAAAAAAACCTGTGAATAGCGAATTTAATAGTGTATTATAAAAAAAAGAAAAGTCCATTTTAGTCATTTAGTGATTATTAAAAAAAAATGCAATAAGTATAATTATATTTAATAGAATCCTACATACATTTTTCTGAGACTGGTATATTTAAATTAGTTATACTATAAATATTAAAAGTTGTTATAGCGATTTTGTTGATCACCAATACCACTAATACCAGTGTTTATTAACTCCTAAATATCAAATAGCTTTAACTCATCTTAGTAAAACATAAAAGGTATAATTTTTCTTAAAGGATAAGATTTCTTTTATTGATCATTTTTAGAGCCTACAGGTAAAAAATAAATAATTATTTATTATATACTCGATGAAAATATTTCAATCGTAAAAATAATTTTATAAACACGGCCGAATAAACAAATAAAATAAAATAAATATGCTTCACTTATTTCTTAAATGCTTTAATTTTTTTATAATGCTTAACTGGAATACATTGTAATTTTTTAGTTTTTTACACCTATTTATAATAAAGAATCGAGAAGATTTTTGTGTTTAATTCTGTGTAAAAGTAAATTTGTTTATCAAGTTTAATACTTATAAGAACAAAATCTTTTGGAATGATGAAATAAAATTGATAAAAATAATTTTCATACACCCACTTACACGCGGAAATAATATATTGATTCCCAGGCATGTCTGAAAATAAATAAATAGGATCACGCACATTCAAATTTCTAAACATCTAGAATTTTAATGAAAACAATAATAAATTATAAATAATAGATAAAATATTTAAATTCATATAACAACGAATGAACACTGGAGTGTTATAGCAATATTAATTCAAAAATCGGCGTTCAATGCACCGACAATATTACGAGATATTAGGTATACCTATAGTGTACTGCTGTGTAATCGATATTCGGCAATTAGTTAGGTAGGTAGCATTTACTAATAACTATGTTATTGTAATTTATCAAACATGAGATAATTAAATTTGAATTTTCATAAATCCGTGACATTCGCACCGCAGTACCTTACGATTTATTACTAATTACTATTATTTATTATCTACACGAGTAGATGAAGATTTAGAGAGCCCGAGACTTTTTATCGGCCGATAGTATCATCATATTACGTCAAAGGTGCGAATGCCGAACGCGTACCGCTCTAGCACTCAGACGGACAATTACATTGCTATATAGATGACACATTGACACCAGAAGACAGGAAGACGTGTATTATTCGCAAGCGCCGTGAGTAATTTCAGTGGTTATCAAAACCCAGTATCGTTATCACTTATCAATTACGAGCAAGTGCACCGACACAAAATAATATTATTCATAATATATTATTACACATAGACACATAGTAACAAGTGACAATAATAAATGTCGTTCATCGTCGCGATTTTCAATTATGACCGGCTGGCCGAAATAATATTAACAAGACAATCGTAGTTGTCGGTTTTTAGCCATCGTGATAAGATCCAAGAGGTAACAGTTATTTGACAGCAAGCACTGACGAGAATTATCTTCTTTTTTTTTTAACGATTGTGCACCTCGACGATTTCGTACCGTATTATCCGACGCCTGCTGTCTTGATGATGGACGGCATTTTGTTGCGAGACAGTTATCGTAGAAATAATCATAATCATCATCGTATGTCGACGACCATCTAAAATGATTGGACCACCGCCACATTTTGCCCTACCGTCCGGTATTGTATGGCGCAAATGACACATGTACGACGGACATAGTAGGTAATACGTTTACACAATTATAATGTAGCATTTGTCTACATCAGGTCTACTCATACTTTGTTTGACCATAGTGATTGAACTAAATAAATTTTTATAATTTGAGTATCATAATATGATTCATATTTTATGTAAAATTATCATTGCAAGATTCTAGGTAATATTGAAGTTGCTTTTGAGCACTCATCATTTCTACTGAAAATAATTATATTTTGACTAAGTTTACAATATTGCATTACCTACTAAATATATTGAACATGAATAACAAAAATAATATCTCATAAACGTTTATCGGCCGCTGTCATAATTTAGAATTTTTTATTATTCAATAAGCCAATGGCTTGACACACTAATGCACTTTTAGATTTTCCTTTCTTTGGATTAATTATTATAACATGGTAAATTTTTATGTATTTATGTTTTAATTTTTTTAAATGTATGAGTATGATATATAATAATCAATTCAGATTGCATATGCTACAATTTTAAATATATAAGATTATCAATTAATTCTTTTTTGAATAATAAGTTAATTAAATTCAATAAGGTATAAAATATAATACTGTAAGCATCTAAAAAACAACATACTTTTATCATAGTTTTTTAATGAATGTCTAATTTTTTTTTTTTTTAATCTCATTCAATTAGTATATCTACCTGCATCTTCAATAAACATTTATTTGATATGATTATTATTGATTTATTAATAGTAAAATAGTCATTAAATTACAAATAACATACCTATTTATCTATAAAATATAAACTATAACACAGTATTTTAAAAATAACAAGTATATAAGAATATTATTTAAATTTTTTTTCAGCTATTCATCGTTCAATTATTCAAATGATTATTAAACCAGTATGAGATTAAACATAAGAACCCTCTTTTTAACTATTTCTACTTTTATTATAATATGCACGGTGTCATTATGGTCCAATTGCTCAAATCAAACATTTGATAAATTTTCAAAGAATATCAAATCTGACTATGAAGTAAGTAATAAATTATTCTAATATTTATTGAATAAAATACTAATAAAAATGTAAACAGTATCAAGTATTTTAAAAATATTTAATATGCTTAAATTTTCTTTTTATTCAATGTCACAGTTAATTTTAAATTTTGAACAGTGCGATAAATATATTAATTTTAAAATAATGTGTATGTGTGGGTGTCGAAAAATAAACAAAATTTGAGGGAAAAGATCATTTTTAGCAAAACCAGTTTTTAATGAAAATAAATTTTTTTATTTTGATTTAATTCAAAAATAGATAGCTCTCAATTTTCACCAAGCTTATAATATTATACTTTTCTCTACTTAGTTAAATTTTTGAAATATTTTGTAACATGAATGGCATTCAAGTAAAAAAATTTGAAACTGAATGTGCTAAAATTATTCGTTTTTTTTTTCAATTCTAAATATTGTTGAAAATTAACAATCTTTTACCTTATGTTATTACATTAATTTAAAAAAATAAATATAAATAAATAGCTTTGATTGATTAATTTATTTATAATTTATATTATAGTACTTATTGTATAATTAAATTGTGATAAGGTAGTACAGATAAGAATTATAAAAGGAAAAAAAATGACATTTATGTAAAATTATCTTATCATACTTCTTCCTAAAATACATCCTTTAATAGCAAAAATATTTTAAAGACAATCTCAATCACGATATTGTAAAATATTGTTAAATACAGTATTTAAATATTATAAATTAATAAAATTCTGTTTAAATTGGATAAATGAATCAAACTTATTATACTCATTTTTTTTTCAGTCATTAGTTCAAAATATAAAGCCAATAGACTGTCTTATTAATGGAAATAAAATTCATGTGGATTGCCTTTTAAAAAATAATACAGTTTATATTCCATTTTCATTTCTAAAAAATTATTTTGAGGTTTGTACTTTCATTATTTTATTTCTGGAATTTACACAAATATTTATATATATTTATATATATAATAATAGCATGTACCAAATGAAAGTTATATGTACAACACATTTATGTTTAACGATTTGTTTAAAAAATTGCTATCTTAAACAAAGTTAATTCTATTATCTGTTTAGATTTATGGAAAAATTATTGAAACTGGTGAAAACAAAAAAAAGTTCCATTGGTCACATAGTTATTCCAAAATATATCAACAAAATGGAAAATATGATTCTCGGGGTGTGTTTACAAATTTCCAAAATTATAAAGTTGAAGAAAGAGATCGTGTGAAGTGTGTTAGTGCTTCTGAAGGTAAGTTTCAAGTTATAATTATATGTATTAATAAACAATGAAATATTTGAATATTTTTAATTATAAAAGAATTTATATTTAATAATTATAGGAGTACCAGTGTCAACTCAGTGGAATCCTCATGGTTATTATTATCCAACACAAATAGCTCAATTTGGGTTATCTCATTATAGTAAAAATCTTACTTTACCATCACCAAAAATAACTGTTTTGGAAAATGGTCAGTTAAACCCTTTGTGGAATGTTCCTGAAACTTCAAAAATACAAATAGTATTCAATGCTCAAGCCAATAGTAATGTTATTGATTTTTTCAGTACTGGTAAATTAAATAAATATTTATCTATATTTTAACATGACAACTTAATATATATCAAGACCTGGGTTCACCAACTAGTTTTGAAACTTTCTAAACTTTCCACAGACCAAAGCACAGTTAATAATTTTTTTAACACTAAAGTTAAAAAAAAATATTACATATTGTATTTATATAATATTTAGTCTTAAAATATTATATTTTACTGTGAAAAAAAAAAACATTCTTTAGTTCTTATGAGCAACTTAATATTTGAGTTTAGTCAGTGCAACTGATTTGTATGAAGTTGCTAAGAATGTTTAAATTGTTATTAATTATGTTTTAAAAAAAGCAGCTTTACACTTTACAATACATTTATTGAACCAAACATTACACAGTGTTTTGTAACAAGATTTTTAATTTACTTCAAAACTGTTTTCACTTTTAGATTACACTTTTCCTTTATAACTAAATTTTCCTAGAAATCCATCTACAAGACAGTTCAATTAAAGTTTAAATCAATTACAATAATACAATTGTATCATACATTAAAACTATATAAGAAAATATTAAAAATACTGAACACACAATATCGAAAAATAAATGTATTAAAAATTGGCTAGTTGGTAGCTCTTGTTCCAGATTATTAAAAACTAATGCTATTTCAAAATTATTTTATTTAGATAAACCAATTTCATTGAAAATTGATAGCAAAGAAGAATTTTTCATTAGTTTTGATGTGGCTTTATCTTTATCAACAAGTAGTAGTATTGTTGTTACTATAAAAGATATGAAGGAAAAGAACGAAGTATGGAATCTACATTACATATGTTCAAGAACATTTATATTTGCAAAGGTAAAATTCATTATTTTACATAAAATGTATTCTTGTTAAGAGAACACTGTACTCTCATAAGTTTTCTACGATCTTACTAAGGTACAAGTGTACAGCATATGCAAAATTGCATAAAATTTTAATTTTAAAATGAGGTATAGTTACGGAAAGTATTACTTATTGTAATGCTCATAATTCACTTTATAATATTAAAAAAATAAATAAATATTTATATTTCTTGTATTTTATTTTTATGCCAATACAACATCCTCTAAATATTATCCGATACTGAAATATTTTCTTAAAAAACATTCAAATTTATATTAATTATCTTTAAATAATAATTATATTTTATTTACTATTATTGACATAACTTAAATACATTAAAAAAAAAAAATCAAATTGTTTTAATTTTATTATTATTTAATTAATAATTAAAATAGTAGGTACAAATAACATGATTATAATTATGCATTTACACCATAATTATTTATAACTATTTTTTTAATAGGGTCATAATATTTATCATGGAATGCATTGCAGTAGAGAGTTTGGTTGGAAAAAATTGACAAGAAATGTATTAATTGATTTACAAAAGGGGTTACATGTATTAAAAAAAACAACAACAAAAATGTTTCGTTCAAAATATAAGGTACTGTAGTTTCCCTTAATTATTATCAAAATATTTTTTTTTATAATTATTATTTAATGCTAATCATGTATTGAATTTTCAACTATGATTATATTTAGTTATGTGATTTTAAACTGTATGGAGTTGGATTCTTGGACAACCTAACACTTAGTTCTAGTGATCATATTAGTCAATTTTATGCTGCTGCACATTGGTTCAATAAACATCAAAATAAAGAGTCTGGTGGTTGGATTAATCCTGTTACTCGTAAAATATCTCCTTTTATTAAACCATTAAAGCCAGGATGGTAAGTTTACTAACTATATATATATATTTTTTTCTATTTATATTAAAACATTTTCAATATAAAAGTTAATATAGTTATATATATTTTATTTTTTTTTTTAATTGATTAGAAGAAAATTTATTTCATAAACTATGTAATATTATTTTTAACATTTAAGAAAATATAGTTTGTAAATTCTCAACATTTTTCAGTAGTTAAAAACACAAATATTATTGATGATTAAATTTTACTCTATAGGTTATCTGCAATGGGTCAGGGTCAAGCAATATCATTGCTCTCCCGGGCATTTTACCATTCTGGTGGCAATGAAGTATATTTAAATACAGCTTACACCGCTCTAAAACCATTTAAAATCTCGAGTAAAGATGGTGGTGTTTTGTCTAAATTTATGAATTTACACCCATGGTATGATGAATATCCTACAGTTCCACCAATATTTATTTTAAATGGTTTTATGTACTCCTTGATTGGATTATATGATTTATTTTCATTGGCTCCTAATGGTTCGGAGGTAATTTAAAATGTCCCACTCTTTATGATTCTATATTTTATACAATACTATAATTTTAGGTTTCACAAGAAGCTTATTCACTATGGAAACAAGGTATGATATCATTAAAAAATTTGTTACCATTGTTTGATATGGGTTCAAGATCAGCGTATGATCTAAGACATGTAACACTAGATATAGCACCAAATATTGCTCGATGGGATTATCACGCTACACATATCAACCAACTATTATTGTTGGCAACGCTAGACAATGCTACAGTTATACAAACTACAGCCAAAAGATGGATTGGTTATATGAATGGTGCTCGTGCATCGCATAATTAAGTTATTTAAACTAAGAGTATTGAACAAAAACTAGTAAAACGTAACTAAGAAAATGTTGGGGAAAAAGTATGGCTGTGACAATTTTTTTTTCCTAAATATATTACATTTTTAATTAATTTTGTATTTTTAGAGGAAATGTGCATTAATTAACTATAATTTTTAATTTTAATGAAAAACTATAATTTGAACATTAAAATCAAGATTTAACAGATAATTTAACATTTAGTTTCAATGAAGTGATTTTTTTTTTTTAAATAAAAACTGTAGTGTTTAACACTATATCATTAAAGTATGTGGGATTTGTCACTTTAAATATCAAATATTCAATAATTAAATTCTGAAGTCAGGTTTATCATATACCTTCATATTTAAACTAAATATTTTAATCTTTTTTGGATAAGATAAAAGTTTTGTTTACACTAGAAAACTTAGTTATTGATATTTTCCTGAATAATATTAAAAATAACATACTACTAAAAACAATTTATAAAATATTAAATAGATTTTTTTTTTAACAACAATTAATTAAATTAAATATTTTCATAGGTGCTGTTTTAAAATAATTTAATTCAGGTTTGAAAAGTTTTAAAATATAATTATTCTATTAAGATTATAAGGTATATGAAATATTCTTGTTTAAACTAAATATTTGGATGTAGCTTGTGTATATTATATATACAATTCTGATATGTAATTATTAATAATCATTGAATTTTAATTAACTCTGTTTAATAAATTATATTTTGTTAAAACAAAAAAAAAAAGCATAAATAGTGGTTCAAATGGTTATTAATTAATAGGTAAAGTAATAACTAAATAAAAGAGTTTGATAAAAAACAAAAATACTCCTCGTTTTGAAATCATATTTACTTAACTGATAAATTGAATATGTATTTATGAAAATGTTTAGATAAATTATAATTTAAATAACATTAAATTATATTATTCTTAAAGAAAAAAACTAGTGTAGTTGATTTAAAATATATATATTTATATAGCATGTTTTAATTTATAAATAGACTATAAAAAGAAAAAGTATTATTGTTAAAAAGTATTTACTTTTGTATTATTTTTATTTTAATAGTTATATTTTAGTTTTAATTTACTTTCATTGAAAAATTTGTACTGTTATTTTATGTAGTCTACCTGTGTAACTGTTCTGTTTTTAGTATTTATTTTAAATTTAAATTTTGCTGTTATAAATTTATTTGTCATATGATTATCATATAGTGTTACAATTTATAAACAGAACCATTACAAGTAAATTTATAAATACACTCCATTAGAATTATAGCGACAATCAAAATTTATAATAACATCTTATTTTTATACAGTTTATATTATTAACTTCAAAAATATACACTATATGATTCCCATTGCTCTTACTTGCCTATTACTGCACTAGTGATCTCATAAGTTATTATAAAATTATTTATGTTTAACTATAGTTATAACAATTATTAATTTTAGAAATTATTATGTGCTCTATAACTATACGTAATTATATTATAAACTGCTAAAATCATAATGATATGTAATAAATATTTATATCCAAATTTAAATTGTTTGCACATTTTAAAATGCTCTTGGCTCACTTAAAAAAAAAAAGAACTGTGAGGTTCATTAAGTAATTTTTTTACTTTTAAATTTGATAATGGATTTCACTGTTATAAACATGCCATAGTTAAATACATTATTCAAAATCAACAATCTGCTATAGTATGTGTTTGTAAGACAAATACACCATATGTGGGTATGGAGTGCTCTTAATAGCTACATAAAAAATATGAATTATTTGATAATATAGATTGATAGATCTTTCCACTCAGAATTTTTTTTCATATACAATGATGTATCATTGAATTAAAATTTAACAGACTTATGTTAGTAACTCACTCGATATCTAATACATAAAAGAGTAAAACACGTATCGATTACTATAATTTTTTGTTTTTATTTCCTCAATTCATATATTTATAAATACACGTAATATTACTGTTCTTACCATTAAATTTAAAACTTTCATAAATAGCTTTAAAGATATTGAATATGGTTTTTGTGCTAATATATTTATGTGAATATAATTCAAATTATTCTGAATAGATTATTATTTTCATTTTTTATTGAAAAAAATGCTTCAACAACTATTGGTTAAATTGTACACAATGAATCACAAAATTCATCAAGTATACATAACTTATCTAACCTATTTTTATACTATAATATTTAACAGAACACCATCTAAACAAGTAATTATAATAGCAGTACAACAGGTAATAAATACAGTTTCACATAAATAGTAACTATTCAATTTGACGACAATTACTTAAGTATTGGAATAGAAATTGTTGACTGTTGTAGCTTATCATTTATGTCAATGCCAAAAATAAATTAATTTCATTGCAAATGTATAATACATGTTTGATTAGATTGAATTTTCGTATGTACTAATATATAATTATTTCAGATATCTAGTATTCGTTTAAATATCAATACAATATAGGTAAGAAATTATAAAATACCCTCAAATTTCAAACAATTGTTTGAACTTTGAAGTATATATTTAAAAAAACTGGTTGTCAATAAAATATTGATAAAAATAAATTTCAAAAGCATAAATCATATCATTTCTACCTAAAATTAAATTTTGATATAATCTACGTTAATGTACAGAATAGGTAATTTGTCGGAAAATACTTATCAAATAAATCAACATCATTTTAAATCAATCACCATATTTACAAACTTACAAAAATGGACAGCATCAACATACTAAAAGTATAAAAAGAATAATGCCACTAAAGACTTTCACAAAATACTAACTATAAAAATTTGACATTAATTTACAAATGTATTACAAGACCTTCAATAAACCAATTCAGAATTCTCTCTTATATTTCATCATTAAGAACGATGCCCAGACAATTTAAACAAATACTATCACAAAAGAAGTATTCTTCATACTAAAAAAAAAAAAAATGTTTTCTTATGTGAACACACAAATATTCAATAATTTGAATATTGATGACAAAATACAACTTTCCTTCATTTATATTGATACACGGTTTGTTTTTAAAATAGAAAAAGTTATAATATCAATAATAATATGTTGTTTTGTATTTGTATATTTATTATACAATTTTTTTTTATGAAATTATATTAACAGGTTTCATTTAATTTCCAATAAGATTATCTTTTTTAATATAAGCGATATGATTAATGATCATAATAAATACCCGCTAAATTTTGTACGACGGGTGACGTCACTAGATAGGGGACGGAGCGGTGGGTTTTGATTTGTTTACACGACTTTGAGGCAACCACAGATATATAAAAATACATATATATCTGTGGAGGCAACCTCTATTATCTATAAGCCTTGGTGGTAGTTACCGCTTTATCAGAAGTGATAAGCGGTAAATTTACAGTATAAATAAATAATATTATTATGGTTTAGTCTGGTTTAGTATTTTATTTTGAAGCACCGCTGTCTTCCCAGACGACCGTATAAAATAAATAGTAAATACCATAAATTGTACTGGTAAGGACGCGTTCCTTATCATTTATCAGAGATCGAAGTAACGATTGATCCTCAAAAAGTCATGTCAAGTTAATCGTAAGCTGCCGAGATTTTTATTTTCAATTTTTTATTATTAATAATCATTATAATTCTCCGACCATGACTTATATCATCTCTGGATAATGCACGCCCGCTCGTATTCGGCCGCGATTTCACAAACGTTTATTCATCACTCAACTTAACTACTGTTGTTAATCGTTGTTGCTGCGCACCTAACGTGTGTCTAAAAAAACGATCGTCGATAAGAAGTTGCGTCGTATTCGCGATTGTGGCAACCATTTTATCGTCGTTTGAAATGTTTTCCAAATAACAGTAGACTGTGAGCTATGTGCGTTTCAGAGTTTTGTGCACTAAAAGTGCTCGTATTCGATTTGTATTGACTTATTGAAAATTATTTTTTATGATATACGTGATGTTTTAAAGAATTACTACTTTTAGCTGTTTGAACTAAAAGACTTCATTAATGTCGCAAGATATTAGCAATACTGATAAAAAACCAACATGGATATTACATAGCACAGCTGGTGCGTGTAGTGGAGCTTTTACACGTTTGATTTGTCAACCATTTGATGTACTCAAAATACGATTTCAGGTAAATTTAAATTGTTTCTCTAAGAATAGTTATCTTTAACTGTTATGAAGTTATAGTTATAGTTATAGTATGACTTTGACCGTGACACAAGTCTTGTTTTGATAATTATTAGTTTCATTATGAGACTCATGAGTACATTTTATTTTTAGTTGCAAGTCGAGCCTTTATCGAGAAATTCGAATAACTCTAAGTACAAATCTATTCACCAATCAATTAGTCTCATATATAAAGAAGAAGGTTTTAAGGCGTTATGGAAAGGTCTTTTACCTGGACAGTTCTTATCAACTACCTATGGATTAACACAAGTAATTAGATTTTTTTAAATTATAATTTATAAAGTTAAATTTTATTAAATTTTTTTTTTTTTTGTTATTCACTATATGCTTTTGTTACAAATGATTCTTTAAATTCACTATAATATACAACAAAATACTAAGTTAACTAAGTAATAGATACTAAAATTAGATTAAATTTCACTATTTATTATGTTTAGCAGTTTATTTATTATTATTCTACAAATAATAAAACTGTAAAATGATCATTAATTACTCAAGTTGTGTACATAAGTTGCTTATTATTATATTAAAGTATTCAACAAGATTAATATCATTCTACAATCAAGTTTAGTTTTAGCATCTGGTTGTGTAACACCACAAATGAGTAAATTAGATATCATTATAAAGAATGTTAAATTTATTAAAAAAAACTACTATACCATAAATATAAAATTAAAAAAAAAAAAAAAAGAAATGTTTTTATTATATATAATTATATAAAATAATGTAATATACCTATTCCATAATAAATTTATCATTATTGATGAGAACTTAATACAAGAATAATTAATTGAGATGATAATAATTTATATCACTGCTTATTAAGCTGCAATTTTTTTTTATCCATAATTGCGTGTAATGCCAAAAACTAATTATTATTTTTAATTTTTAAGTTAGGTACAATAAATATATATTTTTTTTAATATTAATATTTATAAAAGATAATTTTTAAATTATGAGTTTATAACTAAAAATTTTGAATTTAATATTTAATTTTTTTTTTTTTCTTAAAAACCAAATCTACCTTAAAATTTCTTTACTTGTATCTCCACACCGTAATTATCATTTGCAAAAATGTAAACTTAAAAACTGTTTTAAATATAATTTTGTATTTTCTTTTTTTAATTAAAAAAATATGAAACTTTATTATATTACATTATTCATTGTATACATTTTAAATTTAATATATTTAATATGTATTAATATTTTAAATTTGGATATGATGATTATTCATTATATAATTTTACACAAAATTAAATATTATTATACTTTGACAAATGGGAATCTATTTATTTTTTTAAACTAAGAATTTGTTATTTATTACGTGTATTTAGTGGATTGGAAGTATATTTTAATATTACTTATAGAGTAACACCTATAGTACCTATTTATTATTGTCTATTGTATATAGTATATTTAATCAATGGTTTTAGTTTCTAGTCTTTCAAAAAACTTTGGCATTGCTATCAATAACAGAAAAAGAATTAAATCAGACCTCTAGTGTTCATTTTCTGTGTGGGGTTACATCCGCTACTACTGCTACTTTGGTGTCATATCCATTTGATGTCGTGCGCACTCGACTGGTTGCTCAAAAATCTAATCAGGTAATGTATATTGTAATGGGTGTGATAAAATGCCTTCCCTAGTATTAAAGGCAAATAAAAAAAAATTTAGCTTATTTTTTTCATATGTTTATTGTTTTATGTAAGAAATTTTAGTTTTTGTAGTTTTAAATAAAATTTTATTGACATCAACAATTAAATGCTCTAAGTGAAATGAAAAGCTTTACACAACTTTTTCAAGCATTTCTTGAAGTATACGATGAATTTCTGTTATAATTTCTTCCTTCAAACCTTTCAGATTCCTTGGATGGTATTTATAAATCTGAAATTTGACATAAATCTAAAGAAAAAATTACACTCATTTAATTTAATAAATTTCTATAACAAACATGCGTTACTGGTTTGACCACTAAATGTTTATAACTGAAACTAATTGTAACATAAATTTCTCGTCCTCCTACATAAATAGACTAGATTCCCACCATTCTACGATTTTAAATAATTGTAGAAACTTGGGAGGATGTTTTTCCGGACTTTGTTTAACTATAAAGCACAATTTTGTAAACAATTCAAATTAAATATAGTTAACAATTTCAAAGAAAAACAATGTTCTATCTCTCAAGTAAATAAAATTTTAAAAATTATGTGTTTAGCTTAATATTTAATTGTTACCAAGTTTTGATGTAGCCATATAGGAACATAATAATGTGTTTACTATATATTATAATGCAGTGGTAGGCGGGCCAGCGGGCCAAATCCGGACCTCGAAGGAAAAATAATTGGACCACAAAAAATATTTTTTTTTAATAATGCTGGTTTTCTTCATATAATATATATTTTATCTTTTTATGATGTATTTAGAGATTACGATGGTGTTTATCATATATTGCTATTTACAATAATAGTTGCAATAACACAACAATTATTAACTAATATCTGAGTTTTTAGTTTTTACTAGCCCTCAACAATTTTTTTTTTGATTTTCTGGACCTTCATAGAATTTAATTGCCGACCCCTGATATAATGCATAGGGACTATACAAATTATAATACGTTTTTAAAGAAGGAAACAAATTGCAAAACAAATATTATATTTATGTTGTAGATCTATGCAAATATGAGAAGTGTGGCCATATCTATGTTTAGGACAGAAGGTGTATCTGCATACTACAGAGGGTTTTTTCCTACTATAATGCAAAATGCATTGCAAGGCGGGTTCTTGTTCATGTTTTATAACACATTTTCAAAGTTTTCTTCTACTAATACTAGTACTAATACAAGTACATGATTTGATCAATTCTAATCGTATTCATTTTAAAAAATGTATGTATTTAACTTTATTTATTTTCCAAATAGTTGCTCACGACAACCGCATAAACAGTGTGAAACAATTTAGTTCTGGATTTTTAGCGGGTGTATCAGCAAAAATAATTGTGTATCCACTAGATGTAATAAAAAAACGGCTACAATTACAAGATTTTATTCATTCAAGGGATGGTTTCGGCAAGGTAAACTAGTTGTGTTTTATTATCTTATCATATACTTTTGATTAAATGCGAGTATTTTATTGCTTACCATACCTTGTACAGTTATCTTACAAGACAATTTTACTGAGTGTACATCTTGCATTTTGATTTATACTCGTTTAATTGTATATCAATCTTTTTTTTAGAAATTTATATGCAATGGATTATTGAATTGTATCTATGTGACAGTTAAAGAAGAGTCTATTCGTGGTTTTTTTAAAGGGCTCTCTCCATCATTGATAAAAGCTGGATTTACAACTGCGTTACATCTAACCCTTTATGAACAAACCTTTAAGTTACTTCAATCTTTAGTCAACAATTTCTAGTTATTAGCTATTAAGTATTTTAATAACCATTTTTTTTTTTTTTTTTTTCAGAAACATAGTTTGGAAATAAATAACTAAATGTCTGATTTTTTTATTTTAACATTTATTTGTTTAGTTTTTAAATACATTTGCCAATTAAAGACCCATATAATTACATAATGTGTAATATTTATAATTGTAATTTGGAGGAGTCCCTAGACATCCATACAAATCGTTTATTTTCAAGCAGTCTGTTTTGCTCATCATTTTTCTTTGACCGATTGTTTTACCTTCAAACTTTGGCACAATGGTTTGCTTTCCTTTACCAACACTGCAGAAAAAAAATTGTGTTATAACTCATAATTTATTTGATTAAATTACATATAAAAATAATAACAACTAATGATAGTGACGACACCTCTCCTTACTCCTTTAATATTAATTCTAATCATAAAAAAATTACCATTTTAAAGTTTTTTTTTTTTTATATATAATTTTAAGTTATTAGCTATTTTTTCGTAACTGTGTTACCAAGCACAATGTACGTTTAAAAAATATTTTTGTGAAAACCCTATTTATTTATTAGAATTTTTCAATTGTAAGATGATAGATTACTAAGAACAATTTTTGATCATTGTAATTTATAATTTGAAAATAATATTTTATCATAACAATTTTGGTTGTTTTGGAAAGTGTTCAAAACAAAATCTAAAAATAACTTCTCAACAAAAATAAATTTTAAGTATACTGACTTGATCTGTCTACTTGTGAATATAATATTTTATTGTCAAATTAATAAAACAAAATTCTTGAATAGTGTGATAACTTCTAAGGCTTAATAGCAAATTTCAAATTTGACCATAGTCTGTACTTAAGTATTTTATTAATATCATAATTAATAATTACTTAAGTTCGGAACTTGTTGGTTTTGGATATTAATTATAAATCATTGTATAAAAATTTGAATGAGCTGCAATATTCTTTAGGATTAAATAATACTAAATTAACAAAAAAAAATTGTTGTGAAATGTATACCAAATTTTCTTCTTCATTTAATAACATTCTAGTATTTATGAAATAAAACTTAACAGATATTGACGATTTTCGTTGTGTACTAGTTAAACTATTATGTTTATTCTTTATAAACTAGTAGTGAGTAACCGGTATATTTTTATTAACTATAATATAATTAGATATTAATTACATTTCATCCTATAACATTTCTTTTCTTAATTTAATATTTGCTCGGAATTCAAAAACAAAATGTTTTATTTAGTTTAAAATATATATTTGCGATTTCTGAGATCAAGATATAGCGACTTACAATGTATTTACTTGTATTATATGATACATATTATGTCGGTTTTCACAAACAATTACTGAACATTAAATCAATAAATAGTGAGTTATGTAATCATCCCTTAAAAATTATTTAGTAACGTATAGGTCACGATTAATTTATTAAATTTTAAATACATAATAGTATAAACGAATAAATTTTTAATGAAACTCAGCTACAGACATTAACATTTAAAGTGATGCATTGACTTACCTGAAAAAGTTTTTGCCATAGTGCATAACACTGTCGTAATCATATTCAAACTGATACGTGGTGTTTTTCAAACTTTGTTTATCAAAATTAGAACGATATTCTAAAACAATAATTAGGTACGTTAATACATACTTACAAGCCCGACGTTAATAAATTAATAATAGTATTGTTTAACTACGTACGTGGTATAACGTTTTCAAAATTAATCTTAACAAATTTATCGCGGTCTGATCTAGATTGCTCGTGGAAAATGCCTAAAGCGTGTAATAATTCGTGAATAGGTCGTCCGTCGGTACCTAAGCAATTGGCTCCAGTGTCATCTGGAGGCTGCAGAGACACAACTTGCGGTCCCCCGTAACGGCCCACGTACGACCAACACCTGTAATGTTAAAATATCAAAAACAGCCGTATCAATATTTGTCATCAGTATATTAAAATATCTATGTTAATTGAACAAAAATCGAGTTGGTTTTTCTTTAAAATGCATCTTAACATTTTAGTAGATTATATCGTTAAATTATTATTTTACGATTGCCAAATATAATTTTTATACTTGGTTTGTTTTATTTTATCTATTATATTTATATGTTAAAGTAATAAACTTATAAAGTGTAAGCAACCTACGTGTTATTACAAGTTTAATAGATTGATAATTCTAATACCTACTTATATATATATAATATATTTATGCACATCGTATCAACAATAGTTAAGATAGCTCAACCTGCAAACGCTGAATTTCCGATTTTTCTACTTATTTTAATAATGTTACGTGATTAAACAATTTTATACAACTTTATTGCAGAATAGAAAACAAATGGTATAAGTATTGTACACTTTATCGGAAAAAAGAATATCAATGACATTTATTTGTTCCGATGTAGTGATTTCAAACGTTCAATATTTTTCCTATTGATCATTCAAATCTCAGTCCTTAATATTTATTGTTGTGAAACTTTTTATTATAATATATACTTAAAGGATAACTACGGATAATAAGTAATTTTCTTAATATCAACAATAATAATTTAATAGTTTAGTACAAGCAATCAAATTCGTAACTATCTATCTACTGATAACTAACGAACGGTCACAACGTGGATAAAAGGTGTTTTAAACTTATGTTTAGAAACCTAAATTGATTGTGCAAGTATTCGGTAATATCGGAAACTATACTATAGTACTGAATCAATTGATATCAAATTTTATGTGCATAATCTTTGAGACTTGGAAGTTAGGTAATTCACGAAAATCAAATGTTTTGTTTATATAATACAGAGTTGCCGTTGTATAGAGAAATTAAGAGATCTGTATACCTACCTAACATATTATACCTATTATATATATATTTCTATGTTTGTAGGCTTGAATCCTATACAACTACTCGATCAACTTTGTCAAAATGTTTAGATATTGTTTTTAGTGATACTAATAGCAGAAAAGCAAAGGTTTTTTCAAAATAGAGTATAGTTTTAATCACACTCGAGAAAAATATACAAACTACTGTATCCAGTTCACCACAGGCTCCTATCTAGGTGAAATTTGTTACCGAAATGAGGTATTGTATCGACGTCGATTTGTCAGAGATACCTACATCAAAACTAAGGTATACCGTGCACCTATTGATTATATTTAACACAGTATTTTATATTTATTGATTTTTTTTGTCACAGTCAAAGATGGATTATACAGTAACTATACATTTAATACATACGATAAAAAGTGCGTGAAAGTATTATTCATTATCGCCGTAAGCCCGTAAATATATTTAGTATAAACAACTAAAAAAAATAACAGCATAAACCCGAAAAATCAATTAAAATAATATATATACACATTTAAAATCTTAAAAACGATGTCGATATTTGCTCTGCTAACTTGACGTCTTGTCCGTTGATAATTTATCTGTCGCCACTATACCTATTGATGCCTTATGGCCTACACGAGCTACACGTAATACTTACAAGTTATTCTAAAAGACTATGTATATTATATAATTATTCGTAGAACAGCTCTCTTAATATTTTGAATAACGTATTATATTAGGTATATATAATTACCCAGAAGGATATTTCACTGGCCATATCAATAAATAATCCTTTTCTTTGCCGGTCCACGGCACGAATTTGACGCAAGTCATAAAATTGATCGTCCTGATGGCTTGGTATATCAGTATTCGGTGTTCGGTTTCTGAAATAGAAAACATAAGAATGTTATTTCGATATAAAAATAAAAACAGGCGTCGATTGATCGTGAAATCGCATCAATCACACCTCGGTTCGAAATAATTTTCAAACATAATAATCTAATAATGATAAAAATAATTAAACTTATAAATATGATGATTATTGAAATAATTGTATGCATACCATAAAGTGGACTGATCAAATATGGTACGGTGCGGTTAAGCCAAAGTTTCTCCGGGAAAATGTCCCATCGCAGGCCGACCCGCCAATAATCGAAAATCTGTAAATTCATGTACAAAGCGCATAAACCTTAAACTTAATAAAACCTAACCAACAGTAATGTGGTGTGCTTACTTCGTTGTTCATCGCCATATCACCTTGAAACAAGCCCGGCGATACCTCTGGATCGATATCCTCCACGGATAGGAGATCATCCACATCTCCTTTTATGTATCCGGCTGTAAATCATAATTTTGAAAACACGTTTACGTAAGTTATTTTACATAATATAGTAATTCTTTATTGATTCACTACAAGTATTGGATTATATCATTTGGTGGCATATCCATTAATGAAAGGGGAGGGTCAAGTCTTTTTTTGACCTCACTATCACATAAATACGGCCCCAACATAAAAACACTTGGAAAATTGCATAAACAAATTTTTGTTTAAATCTTTTTTTATCAGATTTCTGACTTGAAAATCATGTATTAAGTTTATGCAACCATAATAAATTGATATTAATTTAAAATACACGGATGAGCATATAAATCGGTGTGAGTCATTTGATTAATGATCGAATTACTTTTTAGTCGAAAAACATATAATCGAATATTTTATTAGTATAGTCGAAATACTTTGTGACTGAATGGTTTATTTTTGGTTAAAGTAAAATAGTTGAGGTAAAAGAAAAAAAAAGAAACAAGTTAATAATTATATTTTCGTTTACTTTATCTAGTATTTTTTTTTTAACTGTAGTCGGTGTAAACAGTATTTATCGACTGTTCAATATACGTGGACTTTTAAATTGATTTGCTTATATTTTATTCGTCATATTTTTGCAATAACAATTCAATATTTTTTTTTTATTTTATTATGAATATTTATATATTGTATATTTATCCGTAGAGAAATGTTATTAAATATAAATAATTTCTTATAAAAAAAAAAAAAACAAAGCTAAGTGGTGTTTAACTGATGACAAACATGTATTATATTGGATTTGTATTAATAAGTGTAATGCAAATATTGAAATTTCAAAGACAAATGAAAAAAAAACATGAACTAAATGAAAATTGACAGAAAATTGACATTGTAAGCTATTCCCAATCCTGTATAAGCTCGGAAGTATGAAAATTAAAATCAATGTGAAAATTTTCAAGTGAAAATGAAATCATTATATAAGTACTTATCAAAATCTATTAACGAATATTCGAAAATTGTTGCCTCACGCATAAGAAAGTATTCTGATAAGCAATTAATAAAACGTTAAAGATGCAGTGTTGAAATCTATAAAGAACCAAAATATATTAGATAATGAAATATACCTAGCCTCAACGATGTGTTAAACTCTTTCAAAAAATAAATTATTTTAAATTTTTAAAAAAATGAAAATTTAATATTATTTACATCAAACGAGAATAGTAAACATTTAAGTGAATCTATCAGCTGGTTAATAGATGCTACTTACATTCAAGAGGTTTGCCTATTTTTTAATATTATAGTATTATATATTATATAAACATGTAATGTGCATCACAATTAAAGGGTATTTATCATTGTTTTACATTATCTTTAAAGTATAAGTAAGATTAAATAGAACATTATGCATATTAAAATTTATATATTTGATAGAAATGAAAAATAGTCTATTATTATTTTTTTCATTTACCTATAACATAAAAATGTAGGTAAGTGATATATGTACAAATTGAAATATTAATATTTTTAAGGACTCATAATACACGTCTTGAAACCTTCAATTAATTTAATGTACAAAACACCTCAACGATCTTTACATACGTAATATAGAACGTAAACGTATAAATAATAAACTATGTAGATAGATATATAAACTACAGACTAAAAACGAACAACTTCATAATCAGTGCTGACTGCTGGTATTAGCGTGGTATTTGGGTCTATTGCCGCCGGGACCAAATTATATTAATAGCAAGTATCAACAAACTACTAAAATTTCAAACAACAAAAAAGGAACAAAATAATTCAACGATTATAAACTGCGTTCAAGGTATCTACAAGTAAACTGCGCTCGAGTTCTTATTAAATTTAAAAAGGTGATAATAATCTAAACTACGTACGGGTAAAATTTTAAAAATGTATGACTTTATTTTAGTAAAATAAAACAAAATTACAATCTCTAATTTATACTTAATTCGTAACAGCCACATAATATGAATAATTATTAGAATAAAATAAAAATTAAAAACAATTTATAATTTTAAAAAGTGCAATTAGAACAAATAATAACATATTATTGATGAATATCATCAATTGGAGTTTAACCACTATATTATTTATTTATTAATTAAACTTCGTAACTTTTCGAGTTTTTTTTTAAGAATTTTGATATAAAAAGGGTTGTTTATATTATACAATCTAATATATTATGTTTCTATTTGAATTTCTTTTAACTTTTCTACAAACAAAAAAATATTTGGATGAGTTGTATAAAAGGTAGAATTAAAAAAAATTATTTCTGTGATATTATTTAAAAAAATATGCAATCATAATTATAATATATTACAAGCTGGACACGACTTACGTTATACCTTTTTAACATAGATAAAAATTCGGGCGCGGTTTACATAAGTCTAAATAATTATAGTTCATTATTATATAGCAAATTACGATTTTTTTTTTTTTTATGAAAAATGTCCAATAATGGATTTTTACACCATTAGTCGTTTCATTAAAATTGTAAACTGATTGAAGTTTCTAATTTTTTACCTAGATATTATTCAAATCAAATGCAAACATCTATACGATAGGTACATACCTATGCAATTTGATAAATTTGCCATTTCCCTACAATTGTTGATAGATATTTGTAGACTTGTTGACTTATAGTAAACTTTAGTCATGTAAATGTATAATACATCAATATATATCTTTATAGTAAATAAATAAAATATAATATATATAGATTTATAATATGCATAAAAAGGGAAAATTAGGTAACCGCTCTGCTGTATCTACAGAAAGTTTTAAGTGTAATGTAATACTCGCAGTGGCGAAGCGTCATAGGAGACAATGAGACAACGTCTCCCCACTTAAAAATTAAAACACGGGACAAATAATTATATTTTATAATATAATATTTATAAATTTTAACGTCTTTTTATTATAAATATAATGTATGTACTATGTTTTAATATTTATTAAAATCAGTTTTCCTTTGTACAGTTAAGTTATGATAGTCATTAGTCTAACAGAATTCTTAAAATAGATTAGATGCGCTCGATACGACCGTCTGTACGAATTGGCGATGCGGGTCATTCTAAATATCAATATGGTATTAAATCAAAGAGACGTTCCAATGCAACGTCTCATAATCATTGACGCGCGGGTACAAGGGAAATTTGAATGTGAGTGGGATTTACCATGTATGTGATGAGACGCGTCTCATTCGTCTCGCCGTTCGTATTTCATCGATTATTGTCGTTCTGTCGCGTTGTCACGCCATCGTCAATAAAATTGCGATAGCCGATAGTTATACATAGGTACGTGTTTATTAATATTTTTTAATTTTAAATTATAAATTATGGCTGATGATTTAATTAATGCTATTTTGAACGATGGAATTAGTAATTATTCATACGAAAAAAAATTTGAACTAAAAAATAAAAAACCTTGTCCTTTATTAAATTTAACGACAACTGACGGAAAATCCATTCGAAAATTTCAATTTGTGTGGTATTCAAAATATAAGTGGCTTACTGGTAGTCAAGTTAGAAATAAATTATATTGTTATTATTGTCTATTATTAAGAGGAGAGAAAACCTGGAGCCAAGAAGGTGTATCAACAATTAAAAATTTTGAACGAAAAGCAAACAAGCATGCTATTTCTGAAAGGCATCTTGTTTGTCAAGAACAATTCAAGTTACTCGGGGAAAATATGATTTTTTTTCAATGTCTCCCCAACTAAAAACTCCAGCCTCGCTACTGAATACTCGTATATGTTATATTTGAATTTTATGATAAATCATTACATACGAAATACAATTTTGAAATATGAACGAAGACTGTATCAATCTATATTGTTATATAATGCTATTAATGTAATATATTTTGTTATTAGTAATACGTTAGATTGAATTAATTTTTACCCAAATCTTCAAATTCAAATATCATACATTTAAATTATATCAATATTCATTAAGAGTTGTTTGTAGCCACGAATAATACTTTAAGGTTAAAACAAAATAATTAAAATCGTTATTCTCCGTTTAATTATAAATTTTGTTAGGGTAGGCCGTTGGGTAGTATTATGTCATTTTTTGCTAATCGAATAATTTGATCAATCGCCATTTACTGAAATGAAACTACTAAGGTATACATATCTAAACCATTTTTTTAACACAATTTTACCACTATCTTCTCCACTTTTCAAATATTGATTTAAATATCCTGAGTAGGTATTGTAAAAGCAAATAATATTTTAAATATTTAATGATACCTAAATATATTATCTTCTTATTTAATTCTTGCATGTTGCGTAAATGTAAATAACTTTTCATTACCCACGGACCAAAATTATGATATAATTAATTCACTGTATGTTTTATAATAAAATATAAATATAAAATACAGTAATGTACTATAGTGTGTACTATGAAGGTGTGTATTAGACATATGTAAGTATGAGTGTGAGCGTAATGAATGACTAATGTGTACCTACCTAGTAATTAGCCAGTAGCAACCTGGGTACGTTTTACTTATAACTTAATGTATAATAGACAGTAAAACTGAGGTCCTTATTTTTCTTCACGATATACCCACCCACTCACCCACTTATTTACCTATGATAAATGTGATAGGAAAAACCAACAATAGGCGCCTCTGTATTATTTATACGTATTACAAACCAATTACTTAAAACAACAAATAATAATATATTAGGTATTTTATTAATTTGTTAATTGAATATTATATAAGTGGATCGGCTTTGTTGTTATGGCACTATATATGTATAATGTTACATACAATTTTACTATAATTCATTGTGTTTATTATTTAAATAGTATTAAAAAAGTGGGCCGTCATAAATTTAATTCTCCATAATATTTCCTTTTACTAAGACCTTAAATACGTCACTGGGTAGTTAAATATTGCACTCGTTTGGCGAATCTTTAACCGTACTTGTCTGTCTGCAGTTATTATAATATTATTTTATTAATTATCTACGTCAAAAGCCTAAAACACGGTATATTTATAATTTCAGTTTCGAAACTGCATTAATAAACACTATATATTGAAATATTGGACTGCGTTTGATAATATTATTATATATTTCCAATAATCACATTCCGAACCATTTTTGCGACGCAGTCAGTTGACTTTCTTTCGAGTTGTCACACTTTTTTTTTAGCGCAGTGCTCGCAGTTATGTCTTGTTATGTTGACTGTAAGTTTCGTAAATCGTATTATGATAGTACAATATATTATGAGAAACATTTAGTTATGTAGATCATCAAACGAAATACATGGACTGATTACCACACTTATAAAATAATATATAATAAACGATGTTTTGGCTAAAGTTGGTTCAAAATTCCTAATGTTACTAATTAAAAAACAAATAACTGAAATTATAATAAAATATATTCTTAAAAATAGAGAATTGACTCCACATCGGTTTTCCTAAAATTCGTTTTTCGCATAGATACAATTGTGACGAACAGTAAAGGAGAACGAATGCTAAGAAGGATCGTTTTCAATTATACGACGTATACATTTCAATTGATTCTAAATTGTTTTTATTTTTGAGAATAATAATTTAATTTCTACAAGATATACCACAACAAAGGAGCGAATCAACAATCTTTAGAATTCTATAAATGTAATAAAAGATTTATTAATTTACACGGCACATACTATTTTATAATAAGTAGGTAATTACTAATTAGTAATATTAGTAATTAATAATAAATTTATTATAATCAATAACGTCGTAGTAATCCAGGTAGAAAAATTGAATAGAAAGAAAAGTTCATATTTTGAAATTACATATCTCGGGATAAAGAGGGATTAATTAAACTAATTAAAAGGTATTTTTCCTTCTGTAAAAACTTCCCAATATGTGTTGATATATAAGGTAGGTATTATATTGTTATTATGTAAAATTTTGAGTGTATGCGCGGTCTACAATATACGTTGTTGATATAGATAATATACGCTAGTACTACCGAAAAACGATTTCATATCACCACAAACACGTCACCAAATAAATACAACTATGGAAGTGCGACACATATATTATGCATACATTATAAATTATATACTTTTGGCATGTTTCAAAAATTTGCAGACTTATATACAATATTTTAATGTATATACTCGTGTATACACACGTGCGTCCTCGAAACCACCTTTCCCTCAACTCGTGCCGCACAACCACTCTTGTTATAATTTGCTAAATGCACTTTCTCCGAGTTCAATATAGTATATAAATTATAATGACAATCATATATTCCACAAATTATCAAGATTCATAACCTCATAAGACACATATTCTAATGAATCGTACCAGTTATAAAACGTGATCGATCGGTTTACTGACCACTTTTCTTTAATAATGTCAATGCCTAAATATAATACTTTTAAACAAAAATGTTAAGTTTTAAGAACTGTTAATTAATTATAATATTATGTTGAGTGATTTTTTAAAATAAAAAAAATAGGAGAACGTGTATACTTCAGTATTGTATTACAAATATAAATTATTATGTTGATAATTTTCATGAGTAAATATTTAATACAATTGAGAGATCGAGTAATTTGAAGCTAAAAAAGACGCGAGGAATGGATGGTTTTAAGTTAACGTAAGTCAACTCGGATAAAATATGAGTTGTCTAAAAAAGATTAGAAAACACCCTCTAAGTATAAATTTACTTACATGTTATAAAAAAATAAACAAATAAACTAACTGGCCTAATTAGAGCAGCAAAATATAATTTTTATGAGCATATATTTTCAACAACTTTTGAAAATCCAAAATTAACTTGGAACTTGGTTAATGAAATTACTGAAGCGAAAAATAGTTATTAATCTATAAATCGTATTAATAATAATAATCAGATTGTTAATATACAAAAAGATCCGGTACTTGCCAAGGAACAATTTCAATGAGTTCTTCATGAATGTTGAAAAGAATATCCAGACAAACTTAAACAAACGCCGTTAGAATCAAGTAATATAACACGTAATTATTCATTTAACGAATGATTTTTAATACCTCTTGAGACAAATGAAGTGTTAAGTATAATAAAAAACTTTAAAAATGAATTAGCTTCTGGCTTTAATGGAGTGCAGTTAAAATATTAAAAACAGTTCAAAATCATGTTGTAGAACCGTTAACGTTTATATTAAATAATTATGTTTAAGACAAGGTTTTTTCCTAAATAAATTTAAAATAGTCATAGTTATCATATAAGTTAGGGAATAAAGAAAATGTTTAAAACTACAAACTAATATCCATGTTACGTATTTTTTTTTTTTAAATCATTGAAAAAATAGTTAAATTTAGGCTTTATCATACTTACAAAAAAATGATTTATTTTCAGTATAGTTTTTGACTAGGTACTATTTTTATTTTTAATTGTATTTACATTTTTACTTTATATTTTTACCTATTGATTTATTTACTTGAATAATTTTATTTTTAATATTTCTATTTTAATTCCACTCTTTTGTCCCATTACAAACAATGTTTATTGAGATTCAAAATTAATCAAAAATTAGTTTTTTTATTTAATTGTACATTATTGCAAATTTTTGATTTGATAAAAATGTTGTCCTCTATATTAAAAAATAAAAAGTAAAAAAAAATAAAAAATGAAAAGTTAAAAAGTAATAGTAACTAGTGGTAATAGCCTCCTCGGTATTAGAGTACTCAGTGATCGAGAAGGGAGGGGGAGGGTTTGTGAGCGAAATAATAATAACGCAATATGCATACTATTTTCGTTAGATTAGCATCGCAAACCACTCGTATCTATAGTACATATGAAAATATAATACTATGTGCACTTTCGGTTATCGTTCTCCAAACAGCCAAACAGTTAAAATATTTATTTCGACTTAAACAAATATGCTGGAAAACCACAAAATATATTATTCTGCTGATCCGATTAGGTGAGTACAAACTTAAAGTATTGAACGTTTATCATCGTTTATGGAGATCCACTAATACGGATAAAATAAACGAACGCTCGAGAAATTATCAGTCTATAATAAACTAGATTCCAATATCCACACGTATTTTTTTGGCATTAACAATACAAAAGTGCTGTTCCTAACTGTTTATTTATTCGAATAATAAATGACATACCTACCTATTTGTTAAATACACGAATCGCGTACGTCTCTTTTATAAATAAATTTATATCAATTATAATTGTTTACATTTTTATTTTCATATTCTTTAAATTCATCATTATAATCAATTAACAAGTATCCAACGATACTAAATTCGCCGCGTGTATGTTCGTAATAAATAACGAATAGGGTATAAACCTAAAATAAACATACTAAATTGCAGTTCCGCGGAGTACCTGCGTGTATACATGTATTATACGACAACGGAATTGAGATTTTCCCCGGCAATCGTTTCTCTGCCGCCGGAATACAATGTACCAAAAAAGTACCGTGATAAGAAGAAAAATAATAAATTATTTAACACAGAAAACGGACCTTGGGAGGACGGCACCGGGGGGTGTAGACGGTCCGGAACGCTGGGCAATATCAGATTGATGTTCCTGCACTGGACGACTGTTCCGGTCAACAGCTGCAGCAGCGCCCCCATCAACAGTAGCCGGCACATGTTACACGATTGTCGCCGTCGTCGTCCCTACATGCAATTTCGGGCGCGGAAGTACCTCTATATAGTTATAATGCGGGTGCTTCCTGTGTGCAAACGAATGGTCTTCGGCGCGGCACTCTACCGTCGTCTCTGCAGGGCGGCGCGAGGAGGTCCGGCGCGGCCGTGCAGCATCACTGCGGCGGGCGGTGAACCGCCGATATATGCGTACACAAATATATTAGGTATGTTATGGTGTTATGTATTTACTGTTAAGTGCTGTAAGGTATTGTAATGATATTTTGTTATAGAATAATATTATCGATTTAAAGTTATTACGCGAGCGGTGGCGGCGGCGGCGGCGGCGGCAACGACCCGTGCGTGCGGTGAGTGTATCTAGACGCGCGCGCGAGACGGAACGGTCGGAAGACGGAAGACTACTAACGGGCTCGTTAGAGGTTTAACGATTGATATATAAACGCGAACGCTCGCGTGCGTCTACCTATATAATATTGATGTGTGGTGTGCGCGTGGTGCGATCGAATCGACCAGGATGTGCAGCGTGTCGATTTCGACGTACACACACACACACACACACACACGTATGTATATACAGGGTGATTCCAGTATTGGGAAGTGACCTAACTTGAGTTTTAAGTCGTTGCGGGGAAAATAATTGCTTTTTAAGTAACTTGTGTTGTTTGTTCGGAGTAAAATTACAAAACTATACGTCATCTTATTTTTTGCTTTAATTCATTTTAAGATCAAAGTGAAAATATACATGTAAATATGCCACACGAATGCGATTTTCCGACAAAAAAATTTGAAACTAGCAAATAGAAAACTTATCATTATTTGAAACAAATTAAAAAAATTGAGAATATGTTATCACGCGTTAAACAATTATTGTCTCTCCTTTGGTTTTTTCAAATATACACATTACATAATTTCATACAGTTGATTGTTGTTACTTTGTTAACGTATGTACATTGATAACATAATTATTAAACTCCAGTAATATTAATAAAAATAAAATATGAAACTAACTTTAGTTGGTCGAAGTTACTTTTTTTAATTTAAGAGTAATGCAATTTGACCAAATACAAACAAAGCAACTTGAGAATAATTTAATTACAATTTTGAAAGGTAATTCATTATATAATTTTAATTACAAAAAACAAAAAATTCCCCGTAACTGGATAATTTATCGTGCATGATCATCCCCATAATTTTCCGCTTTAATAATGTATTTATTCAAACTGTTATTTTTCTGAATTTTAAACACTTTATAGGTACTTTTAAAAGCCACCGTATTTTAAAATGATCGAATTTTTTATACCGTTCAAGGTTTTTATTCGACTTCATTTTTTTTTTTTTTTAATGAATCTCACCTATTTTTTACTTTACAAATAGTTAAATATAGATTTTTTTTAAACTTTTTTATGTTTAAATTTTAAATTGAAATGCGAATAAGTATACAGTTTTCGAATCATTACACTATTTATATATATTAAGGATAATAGTTCTTGATATAATAGGTTTGCCTAAAATATAAAATCAATCTAATTTTTTTTAGTCTGGTATATATATGTATTATGTTTGCCGTTTAGACAGTTTTAATCTATAATTAAACTGTAATAAATTAAATAAATAAATATTAAATAGGAGGTACTACCTACTACCTATTATAATTTCTAAACCATCAAAACCCCCATATCTTCATACTATTTTATTATAGGCTCAAGTATATTATCCTTACACTGCACAAAGTTTAATAATTCAAAAATTACTAGTTCGAATTTCGATTTGAATATACCTAAAATTAAGAAAAATAATTATCTGCTAAACAATTTAGTGTGAAAAAGACACAGTGGGACAATCCTCAGTGTTTAAAAATATGTTTTGATTCTTCAGTATAATGGTTACAGGTATTTAAAAATTCTTTTATTCAGAATTTGAATAAATTCATTGTTATTACCGAAAAAATCGGAGTAACCATAACAAGTGAATCACTCTGTATATATCGTGTTTGGGCTTGTCTGTCATCGACTGCATTGATTTATAATAACATAATAATATCTTTATTATCATATACACTGCTGCCGTAGCCGTTGCCGATGCGGTCTCAGTGGTTGGCAAATACTATTTTGATTTAATATGTCGATCGCCACCGCCGACAACGACGACCAATATTGTGCGTGCGTATAGTTTGTAAATGAAAGTTTGAGCGCGTACCTATATATTTAGCCGTTATCGATCATTTCGTTTTGTCGAATTAGGTTCGGCGGCTTCATTGTATCGATATATACATATAGGTACGAAGACGACGACGACAGCATACAGAATAATTCACCAAGCATGCTCATCCCCATTTATTTCTCCATTCATTCATTCAAATTCTTATTTCTGGACGCATTTTACGCATTTTGTACCTACCTATAATAATAACTTATAGAAAATCATATTATTTTCAAACGCATATAGATTTATAGAATATTTAACGAATGTCCTATGTCGATACAATGTTTTTTTTTTTTTTAGACAAGAAATGACCAATTTACTTTTAATTATTAAGCAGATGATTTTTTTTTTTTTATGAACTATTAGTAAGTTCCCAATATCCGATTTATTAGAATGCATTAATCTACCGAGAATTATAGTCCTCAAAATAGTTTTCCATAAATTTAAAATATGAGTACCTAATACATATTGGATTTAGTGTGTACTAAACTCAGAAAATAAAATATATTTACTTAAAAATATCTAGTAAAAATGAGAATTTGAATAAATAAATAAATTTGTTAAATAAATACATAATACTTAAATAAATTTTTTTTTAAAAATGGGGGTGAGCTTGCTGGATGAATCACACTGTATAATAGAAATGTGTAAGCGGGTATTGTTCATACGTTGATAAATGATAATCATATAGTATAGACTGTATAGGAGGTACGCGCGTGACATGCCTAATGTATGTATTTGCGCGTAGCACCGTTGATTATCTCGCTGACGGATCCCGATCATTTCTCGCGGCAGCAAATTTACAAAATGTTCCACATCGTTTCCTGATGTAGATATAGTAGGAATATCAATGAATCATATTATCTAAAAATCAAAGTCGGTACCACTATAATAATAGTTCAACCTTTGAAAATCCCGCGGAATACATAGGTACCTAAGCGAATAGGTTTATCCAACACATATAAGTATGCACACCAATAGGCAATATTACTATTCTATAATTATTAAATTATACAAGTACCTACCATCTATTTTCATTGAAATTATATGCGTTTAAAATAAATTACACGTAGGTACACAGTATTATAATATTAAAATAATATACCTATGTTTAATAGAAATGTTGTTTGCGTGCCATTTGTCTGTAAAATAATTATCTATACCTACCTATATGTCGATAAATTTAACTAGTGTACTCGATTGTTTTTTAATAGATAGAATTCCAATTCCGCTTTATCTTTTTTCACACATCGTGTTTCGTAAATAATTCTTGATTAAGCTTTAATTTGGAAAATGTATAGAATTTTTGATATAATTATATTATTTTACCCATATTTTGATAACTGCTACAGGTATAGAGAGCTTGCTGTCAAGTGAATAATCGTGTTATGTACTTTTATAAAAAGCAATATGTGTATAGTAACTATCAAAAATTTAATTTATTTTTTAGTGTATTTACATTGACGGTGACAGGGTACTATTATTGTGACGCACAATTTTGGAGACCATCCAATTATTGTGTTTTGTCAACACGATAAAGTGGCTTTAAAATCGAATTAGCATTTTTCGATTTTAATTTCAATTTCGCTTATCGAAATTAGGTTTTGTGATTTCTTATTCAATTTTTATACAACTTTGAATATCATAACATAAAAATTTCATTTTTCATATTAGTTTTGATTTCTTGTAGATAATTTTTAACGATTTTTGTAGATGTATAAAATTGATTTTGAAATTCATTCGAAATCCCGATGAAAATATCTACGTATTCAAAGTTCACGTAATCAAGAAAATTTTAACATGAACAAGTATATATTTACTAGCATAATACGAGTAGTTTCGGTAATTTGTTCTTCCAAATTATTTAATTATTGTATAGAAAAATAAATAAGAAAATAAAAACGTTTAACTGCACAATCGTTTACTTATAAATTTATAACATACGCTGAAATCACTTGGATCGCACATAAAATAACGCATACCTACCTACTTATTGCCTACTATAAAGTATGATGATATATAATGTCACACAGTATGGTCATTAGTATATCTCTATTTAAATATAAATATAAATTTTCTTTTTTAATTCTAGACGTATTTTTTGTGTAAACACATTAAAACGGATACCAATCTTATGATTTTAACGATGATGAGTTTACATCGTCTTTTAAACTTAAGGGAAAACAATAGAAAGATAATTTTAACCTTGGAAAAATCGGTTATGATACAGCTGATATTATTATATTCCTATTTAAATGAAAATTATGTAATAGGTATAATAGCCAATAGGTGTAAACTGTACATCGAACATTGTAGTTAGGTACTAAGCGTAAAACCTTACCATTTTTTTTTTAAGTTTTGAACCGATCCAGTGTACACGAGTAGCACTTAATAGACAGGTGATTGCTTTTAGAGTGTTTTTAAACTAAAAATTATGAATTCATACACTTATAAATTACATAAACGAAAAAAAAAAAATTAAACATTACTTAAAGAATACATTAATGTACCTACTTTGTTATACCTAATTACTATTAGCTGCAGTACCTATCCGTTATTTTTTATTAAACTTATTATAACTATTATATTAATAGAGCATACTAAGTTAACCAATTAACATACAAAATCATGATACATTCAAAACACTATGAAACATTACAAATGAATATCTAAATTCGATATACATAAATATTCAACATTATATTATACTTGCGAACTAATAAAAGTATTACATTTTTGTTACACGTTGCAATTTTAAAATATTATGATCGTCAACTTTTTTATTTGACAACAGATAAAATATTGTCATTATTTTTCTCTTGCTTATTTGGTTTTCTCGTTAACCGTATCTGCAACTTAAACAACTTAAATTTATATAAATAGAATAGAGTAATAAATGATGATCGTGGTTTCAGTTTGATTTTTTTTTACTCTAATAACGTTATGCTGAAATCATTTGTAATATATAAATATTTTTTTCTACTAATATTTTTTCTGGTTTAGGGGGCGAAATTCGAATATACACTTTTAATTTTTATCACTATAGCTCCGATATAAATGTACCTAATCCTAAATAAATCTTTGCTTACATGTAAGATACTACTCAAATCATGTGGGCCCGTTATCAACGATGCATTTAGAAGGACCTCCCATTCTAATCCTCGGGACCTGGGTGACTTGAGCGAATGCCTTGGGCCCCAATTTTAGGAGAGGGAA